AACCTTTTCTTTAGATCTGTTTAGACACCTGCATTCACTTAACTGTAAACAAGAAGGCTTATTCTTCCCTGTACAAGTCACGTTGCTGCGGTATTCGTCCCACCTTCTAACGTTGCTTCTAGCTTGTTGTTTACATTCATGGTCCAGAAAGTCTTCACGTTTTCCGGATAGGAATCCTTCGAATATATTGTCATCTGCGTCAGGTCTTCGCTTTTCTGTGTAATTATTATTAAATAGGTTGCTTGCTGGCAGTTCCGGGTCATCTCCGCCTGCGTTATGACCTTGCGGAGCTTTTGCGTAATGTTGATCTTCGTCTCCCAGAACATTTATAACTGGTACTTTTACGTATCTTGGGCCTTGGATAGCGTTTGCGTCTTTGATTTTATTTAACATAGTTTTGAACGTTTGGTTATCTAAACTATTTGAAACTTGACTGTTTATTTCGTTAGCGTCGTCTGAAAATAAAGAGTTATCCAGCCTTTGGCTTTCGTTAAGAAATTTTCCGGACGAAAAATTGTCGGCGTTTATTTGCATGTCATCTTTATTGTTCCTTGATCGTAGTAGTCGACTAGATTTTTGAGGAAGAAATTGTTGATGCTCATTCTTGTGGTCGCAGCAGAGAAGTGTTTCAGCTGAATTCGACTTGCAAACATCTGAACGCTTCGTTAAGTGTTGATCATTTGATGTCTTGTTCGAAAGTAAGTCATTCTCGCTCTTGGTAACGTGTTCATAAATTCCTTTTCGATAAGCAGTCAGCAAATCTTTACGCCGATATCCGCAAGCCTTTCGTCGTGCGTGTTCGTTTTTACTTTCCATTCCATGAATATATTTTCTTGAAACATGTCATACTATGTGGGTGAGTCGTCTGTGATAAGTCATCTCGTCTTGCCAAAGACATGTCTACTCGAATAATTCCTTCACTCTCTCTGCCTGCTCTTTTCCAATTACATATTTGCTTCCAAACATTTCCCTGGACAGGTGACGTAAGGTCTAGATAGTCAGGCGGCCGATTGCTTCCGCGACGGGGGTATACCATCATAAGCAATGTCGCGGCACCTGGCCTTATTGTCCAAGCCGAGAAGATTGTGCACGTCCATGGTCGGACAGTCAAAAATTGCTTTTCGGTGAAAAATTACAAAAACATCATGAGCCGTGGTCATTTTAGATAAGTGGAATTTAGCCTGGGTCAGGAGCAAAGTATAGGGGCAATTATCCTTACAGCCCCATTGAGACTTCCTTGTATTCAGCCACAGCTCATTGCCCGCTTTTTTATAAGAGGAATGGCTTGGTCCCCTTGAAAAAAGTCGAAGTCTTTTAAAAGAACCGATTGCTGGGATCAAACAGAAAACATATTTAATGGTTTTAACCCAGCGTGTCCGCTCTCACTCAGTTGCGTACCCAAGCTCACCTGAAAGATCTAAAAAAGTCCCCTTTCCTCTGACTTCTATTTGAACTTTTATTCCCTTTCCACTGAAATGTTAATTATGAGCTTTGTATATAAACAAAATGAACTGAACACCTCCTCTGTTACAAAACTGCCAATATTTCCATTTTAGGCTAGGTTGCAAACGACCTTTATACTTACGAAAGTCTTCCCTTTCAAAACTTGTATTAAATCAAATTGAGGTGGTGCTCATTCTAAAGAATCTTTCGGTTTCATAATTATATTAATGGGTAAATTACAGTCACACATTTGATTTTATGTATCAGATGCTGTAATATTGTCAGCAAAGAGGAATCTTGGCCTTGATTGGTTGTAGAAAACATCATATTTCGGTGGTTTTTTCCAGATTCCAAAAGGTACCCCTTTTTCTAAGTTTTCCGGTCCTACGTTTGAGGGAAAGACCGAGGGGCAAATCACTCTAAGAAAATCTCATACACCTATTGTGAAAATCCTATTGTTTTATCTGAAAATCCCCAGAAATCCTTTTGTTTTAGGCAAAATCTCGTACGCTATTTGCAAGAGTGAATCGCCCCTCGGGAAAGACCACCTCTTCCTCAGAGGTTTTCCGGATGAGCTTGGGTACACCTCTGATGAGGGTGGACAAGCTGGGGTTTTTGGGAAGAATCAGATTGAGGCTACCATGAAAACAAGTTGGGAAGATAACTCTTTTACACAATTTCTAAAAAAATAAAAATAGATCTGCTACGGCTATTGCTATGGCTGCCGCCGAAGCTACAGCTCTTTGCAGAAAGGATGGAGGATGCTTGAAGTAAAATCTAATTCATCAAGGCTGAACCACTGAACTGGGAAAAGCTTAATTTTGGAGGAACAGACAAAACAGCACAGAAATGGGCTTCAGTCGAGGGGTAGCACCTTTGCTCTCAAAAAGGGACAGCAAAGTCTATTGTCTAAAACAAAGAAATCTCATTGAGAGAGGAAAGGCCTACTCGTTCCTTGTTCAGGGCCCTTTTTCATGATAACTAAAAAGGCAATTGTCTCTTTAGCCCCAGAGACATTTCGTTGTTTAAGATAACAAAGGAAGTGTCCTCTAAGGCCTAAAAACCCATCTGTAGCAAGGGTTCAGTACTAGGGGGCACGGGGGGCACATTTTGATGCCAAAAAGTACATAATTTTCTCTTTGGCTATTTCTACTTAAATCTTTTCTCAATGTTTTGCGCAAGAGCCCCATCGTTATCTTATAATCCTATACCCCTAGGTTTAACTCCCAACTTAAAGTTTCTTAAAAACACTTTACCCATGTTAGCACGTATAAAAGGGCCTTGCCGATGACCCTGATACCAAAATGGACATTACTCAAATAAGAATTGTTCTATTCCTTCAAAATAAACACCGAACAGCCACACGTACCACCAATGAAACACTACGTACACTGCATTCCATTCCATATGACGTCACTGCGGTCGACTTATACTCAAAATGACCTCCGTCTTTAGACTTTGAGTCATATCTGAGAGTGTTTTCTTTGCATTGTTTTCGGCCTTCAAAGATTTAATTCATAACTCAAGGACATTTAAATTGAATCCATGGAAACACATATCAACTGTATTGTGAAGCAGGTCAGTCGGAACTGGTTGCCATCGAAATTCATGACTTCAAAGCTAGCCTTTCCTACTTTATGTTCGTATTGAGATGTACGCATTTATTTGCCGCCATCCGAGTAAGCACCTTATAATCAAACCAATGATCAAAGTCGAGCTTTTCTTCAAGGTAGTGCTTCAAAACTGCTACTTTGTGCTCGACTTTGTGAAAGAGACGGGTCTAGAGAGAGCAGCAATAGAGTGGCAAAGCGGCGTCATCAAAAAGCCTATTTTTAATAAATTTAGAATTCTGACCCCATAACCTGAAAAACGCTACAAAATATTTCTGAATATGAAAAGTCATATGATTTCAAGAGCAGGCGATGTTCTCCTGAAAACGTGTCAGATTTTAAAAATGATCATTCTTAAAGAATAAATCCAGGCTCAAAAAGAAAATTATTTCAAAACATCAAGGCTGGAAATATTTATAGTATTCTCATCAAAAAGACTGTACTGCTGTTTTGGCCTGGTTGGTAAGTTTCAGAACAAGGGCCAATTTACAAATGGTTGATGGGGAAGAGCCCCTGCTTATTTTGCAATATCTCGGTCGATTTTCAACAGCTTCAACTGATTTCGAAAAAATTAAAGGTATCTCGTTGTGTTCCTTCAAGTTATGGAGTTAGAATTCTGTCCTATGCAGTCCAAACGGCTAAAGATATCATTTTTGATGACGTCACTTTGCAATTCTTGCAGCGCCCTTTATAATGTTTGGCTTTGTCATTTTCATTGGGGCAGACCTCAAAACATACACAACCCCAAAGCATACCTTCAAGCAAAATTATATGGCATCTTTTTAAATCTGCAAGGAGGCTAGGTCTCTGCATAGTATATTATCTTCCTGTATGAAGATCATGGCAAGCAGCAATGGCATCTTTATGTAATTAGAATTTAAGAAGGGAATTCTCTTTTACAGAACCAGCTATGCTCAACTGCAGGTTTCATATTTTATTATGATAGGCCAAAAATCTTATTGCAAACTCTTTTGTTAAAAAATACAAACTCTATTTCCGAAACTTCAATCTTAATTGTGATTTGCATAAAGCATTCTTATCAAAATGCTAGCTCTGTCTGAGCTGCCGTATCTTTAGTTTCCTTGCATGTGCGAGCGCTATTCAGCTATCTTCAAGTTATGTAATTTTCAAGACACTAGAATAGATAGCTTTCATGTGAAGATTTCAAAATAAAAATATGTCGCTATGGGTACCATACTTTTATTCAGTTGCTTTGCTTCTCATTAAATAAAAAGATCTACAAAGATAAGATCCTATACTTGGATAAATACTTGCTTGTCTAGTTCGAAAAAATTTATTGATTTGATGAAACATCACGCAGTAACACACTTGGTCGTTCTATAACCACTTCCCGGAGAGGATTCTTGTGAAGATTTATTTCAAGTAGGGGGGCTTGTAGATACAAACTGAGAAGCTCCCAAGTTTCAATAGCTCATTCATACAGCAAACATGTACTGCTTGGTTTCCATACAAAGCAATATTTTCGTGAAAACTAACTCATCGCATATATCCGTATATAATCACTTAAAATTATGGGAAATTTTTTTTCTCGCTGATGTTGGTTAACTCAATAACAAGAACGTTAGCCATATTTGAGCCACGAACAGGTACAAAGTCGATATGAAGGATCACACATCTGCCCCTCAGCCCCCCCCCCTCCACTAGAATTACTTGTCCCAAATCCTAAAGGAAGCTAGAGCAAACATTGAGACCTCCTCCATCTCCACTGGTTTGATTATCTCAAAATGGTGGCCTTAACTCACATAGTAGTGCAATAAGGTTTTCAGAATTTTGTTGGAGCGTTAGAAAAGGGACTAGCATAGAACTAAGGCCAAAAGACTGTTTTAGTGCGATGAAATCAGCTTGATTTTTTCAGCAGATTGCTCGAATTTAAAAACAATTATAATCATAAATCATAATTTTTTTGTTCAAAATGCATATACCTACCTTTCTGGATGCATCCGAGGACAAACTCTTTGAACATTTCTTCTTGAAAGAAGTTGAGCATAACATTGTCTCAATTTCCACAGCCATCTCAGAGACACGATTCGAATTTGTGCATTATCTATAAAACAAAGAAGCAATAAATCAAAAGCAAGGCAGTATTATATGCTGCACAAACTATAATGATGATGTTAAATGTCAAATGCAATGTGGTGGAAAAGAAAAGATGAATATTCAGATTTGAACTTTAAAAAGCGTTTGTTAGAACTTTAAAAGGAGTTTCCAATATCTGTATTCTAGATCCTGTGGTCTCAAGGGGAAAATTCCGAGTTGAATTAAGAGACATCCGATGCTATAGGCAGATCTGAGTTTTTATTTTTAAAAGAGATCTCGGCGAGACAAAATTTTGAGCTCTTTAAAAACTGCAAGCAGGGGAGTAACTAGCATTTTTCTTGCAGGCTGCTATGATCTGATCATTAGATATGATCTTAACCTAAAGACTACTTTATCTTGTCAGCAGACCTCAATAAAGATGTTGTTGATAAGCTAAAAGGTATAAATTGCAAAGGAAAACATCAACCAAATATAATCAGCGATATGACGTGTAAATAATTCGTATCGTCTAAAATCAGCAAAGTATTTCCGTAAAAAGTTTGAAGTTTTCGAATGACCGATCTTTCGGATATTGCTGGTTACAACTTTTTATAATGTTTCGTAAATACAGTTTGATATTCGAAATTCATGCTTTATTGCATTAAAAATATTTGGTCATATTAACTATTACTTCTTGTATTTGCGATTAATACTTGTATCCGAGAATTCACGTCATTTGGGGCTAATTGCTGGAAAGCCATTCTATAGCAATAATGTTTATTTGATTCGTAATTTTGCAAACTTTATTGCAGATTTTAGAATTATGTCTAGCTAATTTAGCATCTTTTTACAGTAATAAGACTCGATAATGCCGGGAACATACAAGAAAATGAAAAAAAAGAATGAGTTTTTGATATTCAATTATAGACAACAATTTTAAAAATTCGAATTTTATAAAATTGTTGTATATAAATTTTGCTTAATAGTGGAAAGGCTCCAGTTTTGTGAAAAATTTGTTAAGTTTGTATAGTCCGGCTAAAGCTTGTCACTTAAACCAATCGTCCTGGAGACTGCGGCAGAAGTTCACTTAATTTGTTCCTTCTAGTCCATTGAAAAGTTGTACAGCAAGGTATTTCAATTTTTGTAACAACCTGGGTTTCATTTTTGCAAATTTTCAATTGGTACCGATTCTATGTTTTTGTTTTATAGTGTGAGGATGTGAGTAATGAGAGACTGGAACGAGAGTTTTTGTTGTTGTGAATAGTGAGCGAGAGAGAAGAGACGGAAGTTGAAGTGAAGATATAGGTTGGATAGGTAGCAGAAGATATTGTAAAGTTAAGTTGGAGAATATTGAAGAAAAAGAGAAACTGAAATATTGTTTATATTTGCTTTCCTTCTTGCATGCTTCATTACAATAGAGACTAGCGAAGAATATGTTTGGCTACATAGAGTGAGATTTTTTTTACCTGGTGTCCACATCTCCAGTCGCTTATGATAATTTTTAATACCCTCGTTCAGCTGAATTATATAATCAAATTGAAAACACAGACTGGTTAGCAGACATGGACACGGCAGAATTGTTAAGAGCGCAAGGGGTGTCATTGATGTAAGTAAGGGTGACTAGAAAGCCAAGGCATGATCCTTGTAGAATTCCCACCTCAAAAAACTTTCCAAGATTCATGAACATTGTTTATCAAACTCTCTTATATCACATGTTGAGAATCTCATTTATTATTTTCGAGTTTCGAGTTAAACTTTATATTAATATTCAAAATATTCTGTTACTTGGGTAAATGGAATTCAAATGCTTTTTGCCACTCTCTGTGTTGCAGTCATATTGAGTATGTTGTGGACGCTCAGAAGGAGCAAAACAAATCAAGGCAGCAACAGCAACAAATATGGTACCATTTCTGTCCAGAAGAGTTTGATGGTATAACCTTTCTTCGTAAAGTATCTACAGTCTAGCAATGCTCCCATCCGGTGTTTTGAATAGCTCGAGAGCTTTCTTATTAGCTGTTTGTTTTCTGTTTATGATTTCACAAGCTTTTACCGTGTCTACCGATTCGAATGAAAGTGAAAAGAGCCAAGACAATGTAGGCCGACAGACAACAGTTTTACTGTTTGGTGCACTGGGAGATCTTGCTACAAGATACCTGTGGCGAGGGTTTTTCAAACTTTATAATCAAGATTACAGTGAAAGTAAAAGTGACAGAAAGCTTAGAGTTTTTGCAGTTGGTCGTACGAAAGAATCAAAAGCTACCTCTAAAATGACTGAAATCCTTACGGGTGACTTCTTTTGTAAATCAAAAAGTGAAATGTGCATAGAAACTTCTCGAAGGTTTTTTAGAACTATATCATATCACAAGGCAAAGTCAGAAAACGATTATGAAGCATTGAAGGAGAGAATGTTGTCAGAAATTGACTTGAAAACAAAAGAGGCCGTCAGAATTATTTATCTCTCTGTCCCCCCATTCGCATATCCAGCCATCTTAGAGATGATACACATGCATCTTAGACCTAAGGATGAAAAAACATCATTGAGAATTGTTTTTGAAAAGCCCTTTGGTCACGATGCTGTCTCATCTGGACTTCTCCAAAATTTAATTAGCAAATATTTCATAGAAGATCAAATCTACAGAGTAGATCATTACTTGGGCAAGCAAACAGTTGCAGATATCATAAATTTCAGGATGGAAAATAAGGAACAACTTTCAAAAATATGGAATGATAGATACATTGAGAGTATTGAGATTGTTATGAAGGAACGCATTGATTGCAAAGGAAGGACTGAGTTTTATAATAACTATGGTGTTGTACTTGATGTTATACAGAATCACTTAACAGAAGTATTCTTAAGACTGGTCATGAAAATCCCATCTGATTCTAGTCATAGGAGTTTTGCTAAATCAAAGCTTGAAGCCCTTAAATTGGTAAAATCTCCAGAAGTCAAAGATATTATCATTGGACAATATGCTAGATATCAAGAGCATTTTACAAAAGAGATGCAAGAAAAATCAAATGATATGTCCTTCAATGTGGCTAGAACTTCTACACCAACATTTGCAGCTATAAAATTAAACTATAACTCATCAAGTTTTGCCAAAACTCCATTTCTTTTTATCAGTGGCAAAAAGCTAAATGAGAAATCAAGCTTTGTAAAAATTAATTTCAGACCTTTACACAAGTACAAAGCAGAGGATTCAGATAATTGTCAGGACAAGAAGCCTGAGATTAGATACATCAAGTTTTGTATTCATTGCAGTTTGGTCAATGGACCTGCCATTGAAGTGTCCCCAGGCTTTGAGTTCCTCAACTTGAAATTTCCAGATGGATGGAAAGAGAAAGCTTATGGTAAAAGGAAGCTAGTGATACCACCTGTAATAACTGATGCATATTCCTTTCTCATTTGGCAAATAGATAAAGGAAATAAAAACCTGTTTGTAGACAGTGAATCATTGTCTGAGTCTTGGAGAATTTGGGACAAGGTTCAGGATTTGGTTAAATCTGGAAGCATCCCATTGATAAAGTATGATGAGCAGAACTTTGATAGGTTAAGTTTTTATTATGACCCATTTACTGATGGGTTAAGAACAGTTCAAGATCATTTACTGCCTAATTTTCCAGTCAGTGAATCTTTTCAAGCCGACGGGGATGTCCAGTTTTCATCAATACAAGAAATGCATTTTCTAAGCAGTAAGCTTGTGACTGGGACAATAGACCATGTAATTGGAAAATTGGTAGCTGAGATTGTTGAAGGTATCAATGACGCCGAAAAGAAGGGTAGATTTTATCACATTGCTTTACCTGGTGGAAGTAGCATTTTACCACTTTACAAGAAGTTATGCATGGTGAGTTCAAGCTTCAAGAAAGAAAATTTGCATGTTTGGTTGGTAGATGAGAGGTGTGTGCCTTTGAACCATACAAAATCTAATTTTAAATTGCTTCTTGATAATCTTCAGTCATGCCTACAGTTACCATACCAAAATCTACACCCACTGCTAACAGGTCATAGAAAGGATACATGCACAGAAAGCGATGCTGTTGATTATGAAGAAGATATCAAAGCATGGCTACCATTATTCCAGTTTGATATGATAGTGTTAGGACTGGGAAAGGATGGTCATATTGCTTCCATTTTCCCAGATGATGAGGAATCACTTAAATCAACAGAGTTTGTAATTGTTAATGAGAGTGGCCCAGAACAGGACATAAAGTCTCGTGCAACTATGACACTTAAGTTGATAAACTATGCACAAAAAATATCAGTCATTGCAACCGGTAATAAGAAAAGGGAAATCGTTCAGAGCCTGAAAGAACAGAAAACTGATATGTTAAATGTACCTGTTTTGATGGTAAAATCGAATAGATCATCTGTTACTTGGTATATTGATGACAAAGCTTATCATTAAGATTCTAGTTTTTATTAACTAGACTGGTAGAATATGCCTATTTAGTATCGCAAAAATAATTGTGTCAAGTTGGCTTGTTTTCAAATTGAGATTTATAAGATAAAGACATTTTTACAGGAGGAATTTTGATGTCATATTAGTTTCTTTCCTTTCTCAAGTGAAATGACTTATTTGTGGTTGTATTTTACTAACAAAACGTCAAATTTTTGTCTAAGAATATCGATATCTAAAGAGCAAATACTTGCTCGTGAGTGATATTGACCACCCTCAGTTACCTTAAGTTGTGTACCTCAGCGACTTTGCACCCTCCCCCCCCCCCTCCCACTGAATTCTCTGAATTTTCTAATAAAATAACTTTCAAAGTTCTTGCTATATCATTTCAAATGCTGATATATTGTATTGGCCTCTCTTGTACTAATAGAGATTAAGCTCTGATTATCATAGCTGAGAATGTGGCCACAATACGCTGTCTTTTCCTTTCAAGTAAAGACTTTTTTCGAGTGTATTTACAGAGATTTCTCATCGATTGACTTTATGAAAAACATTTTCTTTTGGTGTAACAGTAACTGGGAGTTTTTCTAAAGGGAGGGGGAGGGGATTGAATACAGTTAAAGCACTGGGCTTGCCGACTTCCTTCTCTACCCATTCCACCACTCCTTCCTTCCATAGTTAATTAGCCTTCCCGTCGCTGTATTAGAGTAAGTTGTTAACTGCTTTCAAGAAATAGAATGTTAATTTGCAAAATTTTCACTATTTCCACAAACCAGATGCCTTTGTGAACAACTACTGCATACTTGTCCTTTTTAGGATTATGTGACTATTTCTCTCCAACCAGGGACGTCACTTCACTAATTTTTTGGGGGGGGTGTAAACACTATTGCCCTGCAAAATTTTTCCTGTAAAACAAGTATAGATGTACTGTACTTATGCATATATTACATAAGTACATGTATTATTTTCAAAAAGCAACACAAACCAACAATCGCAATAAAAGAAGTCAATAATTAGTCTACTTTCACACTAATTTACTTAATTGAAATTCTTCTCATTTTTTTCATGCCATACTTTTAATACTTTATCAAGTGGGATAGTGTCTGTTAGGTCTTTCTCACAAGCAAGTAGAATGAGATCATTCAATCGTTCATCTTTCATCCTTGATCGCAGCAAATTTTTAACAATCTTAAGTTTGCTAAAGGTTCGCTCGTCTTTAGCCACAGACACAGGTGCTGTAAGAAGAAGGCTGTAGCATTTGTAAACCGTTGGGAAAAGTCGTCTGTTTTCATATGAAAATTTGGCAGCCTCTTTGACGGAAGTTGGCTGGATCTGTTGCTGTTCAATCATTGACTTAAAAACATCTAGCTCACATAATATAGCCCCTGCTTCAATATGAAAGCCTGGTGGGAAAAGCTTTCAAAGATCGTGGACTGTTTCTGGGTTTATCGTTTTGAGTGGTGGCTGCAACGCCATTGCCAATGGCTCAATTTTTTTAAGCATGCCTTGATATTTTCACCATACTCTGCTATCAGAGAATCGAGAACAACACACATTTCTGTTCTGTAGAAGGAATTAAATTTAAATTCCGCTGATGTTTCTGGACCGTTGTCAATCTTTCTTGGCTGCAACCTGAGTCGATATTTCCACTAAACTCAGCCGCTGAATCTATTCCATGCTGTTTAGCGCACTCGTTTAGAGCATCCAACTCTTCATCCATAGCCTTGTTATCAATGCGAATCTTCTTAAGATTTTCTACTGTTGCTTCAATTAACTTCATCGCATCTAGGATGTTAAGCTCTTCTGCTTGGAGTTGCATCGTCAAAATCTTTGTTTTCTTCATAATTAATCTCATGAAAATCAATGCAAAAAGAAAGTCAAGTCACTTTTACCCTTCATTTCTGTGTTGTCGTCACTGACAACTTTTTCAATTGCTTTGAGTATGCTTTGTAAACTTCGCCACACTGCTTCTATCGACTCTGAAGAGTAGACCCATATCGTTTTAGACATGTTGCGGAGTTTCAAGGAGTACTCATCAACTTCTTGAACTTTTTATTGTAAATTTTGTTTCGTTTGGAGCTGGCACTGAAGAAAACATATATATCTTGAAGATTATTGTATATCGACGTAATTATGGCACTTTGTTTTGCACAATGCTCTTTGAAAGTATTAGATCGATGCCCTTGACATGGAATGTACGGGACTGGTCTTTCAAGAATATCTTGTAGAACCCTCTGTGCCCCTGCAATTCTCCCAGACATATTATTTACGAAATCGTATGTTTGGAAGCAGAGATGATTCACATTAATTTCATTTGCTTCCAGACACTTGAGAATACATTCTGCTGTCTTATCTCCATGTTTGTCATTGCACTCTTTCATTTCCACGACTCTCTCGCGCGCAATTCCATTTTCACCAATATATCTTGCAGCCACAACCATTTGATCCTTATTGCTAACATCGGGTGTTGTATCGGCCGAAACCGACAACATTTTAGCACACTCAATGTCATATTTTATTCTTTCTCTAACATTCTCCCCCCAGATCTCTTAAAGTTCATTTTGTGAACTAGAATCATGTATTTCGTACTGAAAGGCTTCAATCGTTTGCTATCAAGCCATTCTTTCATCTGTAGACAGTGCCTGGACAGAAGATTCACAAACTGGACAAAATTGCCGTTCTGGTCTCCTGCGGAGCCTCTGAAAGCAATTCCTTGCCTTGCCAATGTTCTAGCAATATCAAACAAAATGTTCATTATCGATTTGCATTTTTCTTCGTCAGCCTTCTCCTGAATGATGAAGTCCTTCAGATGCCTATTCATTTGAATGTCAATATGTCCTTGTTCGACTGAAAACCTAGCAAAATCAGCCAATGCTGCTTGGTGTGCTTCAGAAGAAAAATGCTGAGCAAGCTTGCCACTTTTCATTTTATGCCATGATGCGATACCGTTTATCCAAGCAGTGTCACTTTTTCTTCGCGAGGGGCACGGAAATAAGAAACTCACTTTACAATACCACAACAAATCGGAAAAACTAACATATGTTTTGGATTTGATAAGAAAGTAAAATGAATTAAGATATTTTGTGAAACTTGATTTCTAATCTCTTTTGCCCTGCGAGAACTACTAATTCCTTCTGCTTTGCCCTGCAAAATGCTGTTTTTCAGGATTGGGGGGGTGAAACACCCCCCCAAACCCCCCCAATAGTTACGTCCCTGTCTCCAACAAACTATCCCAGTCCCAACTGAAAATTGTCTCCAACGGCGATGAAATTGGGTTCTTTTATCATGCTGGTCGAGAAGGAAGTATGGGGTTGACTTGGCTTATTTGACCTAAGTGCGTTAACCTCCACGACTCTTTGCACATCCCTTACCAACGTATTCTTTCCATTTGGTGCGATATTTGTCTTAACCCTCAAGATAGAGCAATGGAATTCCAAAGTCTTCATGAATTTGGTCCAACATTTTTAGAATATTCCACGTTTTCTCCTCCCTATAAACTCTTCTTTGTAGGCTCCTTTTAGAAAGCTTGTGTCATCACTTCTGGTTACGTATTTAGACTATTTGAACCTTCTATTTTTTATCATGTTCAGAATATCATCTTTCAATGCTAGAATTTTCGTGATATCGTTCAATCTACACTTGTCCAGACGTGTTTTTCCAACCATAGCTCGAATACAGTCATTCTCAAACACTTCCAATCTTAAGGGGTCATCTGTTTTGAGCATCTAGATCTCCGAGGCATATGTAGCTATGGCCACAATCAGAGCATTATAAAATCCAAGTTTGATTTGATTTGATTTGTTGACCTGTTTGATTTAATTTGCTTTGACATGTCTCTTATAGACCAGATGTTTTTTCTGAGTCTACCAAGTTCATCCCTGGCAAGAGCTACCCTTTTTTACGTCATCCAATGTAATTTGAACAACTGACCCAAGGAATACAAAGTCATTTACTTTCTCGTCAGGATCACCTTCAATCTCAATATTGCATTTAGGCCCCGGGGAGATCACTTTTCACTTGTTGGTGTTTACTTTTAGGCCCCGTTTACACGAGAGAAAAAGGAACGGATCCAAAAGATCCGGACCTTTTAGGTACGATATGGGTACAATCCACAAGCGTTTACACGAGATCGGATCCTAAATTATAAAGCGTTTACACGGGAACGGACCAAAATCGAATCCCTTTTTTGGCATGCGCAATGACAAGGTAATTGTTAATTTTGGCGGGAGAGTATCTAAGATGGCGTCATTTGCAAGCAACGATAAGCGGTCATTTTTACATTGACAGACGAGGAGACAGCTTTGTTGATGAAAGTAGTTATGGATTACAATGCTGCCAAAATGCAAAATGGAGAAGACTGGGGGACTGTTTTGTCGAAATACGAAGACATCCAGAAACAGCAACAGAGGACTTTCCAAATAGCTAGGATAAAGAAAAAATTAAAAAAAGGTGAAAAGAAAATAAACAAGATGAAGACAGGGTTCAGAAAGGCTGTCGACTGTGTAAAAAAGAGTGGGGGTGGTAGAGTAGTTTCTTTGTTGTATGATGAGTGCTGTGTACAATTGAAATTGCCACCATTGACCCCAGCAACAGTCTCGTTTTACTGCCGTGCCTTTGCGGATCCGTATCTTCCCGTTTACATGGCGCCGATAAAGGTACGGATCCAAATGGATTCGCTTTCGAATCGTACCCAAAAAGGTACGGATCTCTCCCAGAAAAGATACGGATCCTACCCAGCCCGTGTAAACGCAAGGCCTATCGTAGCCAGTTTGGGTACGGATCTATGCGGATCCGTTCCCGTGTAAACGGGGCCTTAATCCCCTATTTTGCATGCAATCCATTTCCTTGCTTGGAAACCTGAAGCTTTCCTAATAATATAGATATCAGAGTGATGCTATCTGCATACCTAACATCAGAAGACAGACTTTCCCCTAAATGAAAATCCAGAATCATCCATCACGAACTCCAGAAAGATATTAAATAGTGCTGGAGAATGGTTGCACCACAGATTGCTAGAAATGCAAACTATGGGCCTTTCTAGTTACAACCAATACTTGAAGGTTTGGTAGTCGGGGGTAAACTATGCCTAATTTTGGACGGGGACGTGCCGTTTTGGTTAAAATTTTGGACCCATAACTCCGCAAATGT